AGAGAGTGACGATCTTCTATCTAGCGATAGAGTGGACGATAGAGAGAATGCACTAGAGGGAGAGATATTTACCCTATAGAGAAGACGAGTGCCCGATAGATCAGGATCGAGTAGTAAGACGATCTCTAGCTATATATAGATAAGAGCTCCTTTATATCATGCTACTAGAGACTATTCTTAGCGAGCGAGACAGTTGTAATTCTATTTCCATCTCTCTCTCTCGCCTACTATCTCCCTTACGCTGCTCTCATCTCTACTCTCGCGCGTCCTCGTCTCTCTCCTCGTTCTCTCTCGCTACTCGATCTCTCTCTCCTCTCTCACTCTATTCTCTCTTTTGTTTATTTTTTTGTTTCTTTGTTTTTTGGTCTCGTATCCTCTCATCGAAACTGTTACACATTGCCATTGACACTGTTCCAAGAATAAAAATGGAAGGCTGGGTTAAAAATGAGATTGATGAAGGAGACGTTATTCTTTCTCCTGAGTTAATTTAAGGCAGCTTCGTCTATAACCGAAGAGGCTGTTAATGAAGGCAATCTACCCTTGAATGACAACACACACACCAACACACCCACGACACCACCCACACACACACCCAGGAGGTTTTTGTAAGGTTATACTGTAGACAAAAAGCCCTTGGTTACGTCAAACAATCTTCCAATTCAATGTGTTCCTGTTGTTTGTATTAGAACTCATACAGGAGAGAGTTCCAGAAAAAAACACAACATGAGGAAAACCTTGAAGAAACCAGAACTTCATTCAGTAGACTACTGTACTAGAGAGACATGTGGCACAAGAACAACATCTTTTTTTCAATGTTTTTGTTAACAAGAAAATAGCATATTTTATCAGTCAAAAACCTTGAGGGAATTTAGAAAAGTTGAGAAAATACTTTCGGAGCGTTTACATCACAAGCGGCCTTGAGGGAGGGAGGCTAGCAGGGTTTTGGGTGAAGAGAAAAGTACAGTGTGTGTTTGTGGTATGAATACCATCTATTTTCCCTGATATGATTCCACCAATCTAGTTATTCACCTGATAGGACTTACATCCTAGATTATCACCAGAATAATGAATTCCATCTACGTTTTTCACCAGAAATAGGAATTACCATCTAGTTATTCACCAGAATAGGAATTACCATCTAGTTACATTCACCAGAATAGGAATTACCATCTAGTTATTCACCTGAATAGGAATTACCATCTAGTTATTCACCAGAATAGGAATTACTATCTAGTTATTCACCAGAATAGGAATTACCATCTAGTTATTCACCAGAATAGGAATTACCATCTAGTTATTCACCAGAATAGAATTACCATCTAGTTATTCACCAGAATAGGAATTACCATCTAGTTATTCACCTGAATAGGAATTACCATCTAGTTATTCACCAGAATAGGAATTACCATCTAGTTATTCACCAGAATAGGAATTACCATCTAGTTATTCACCTGAATAGGATTACCATTGCAAGCCCATCTAGTATTATTCACCATAATATAGGGAATTACTATCTATTTATATTCACCATATAGGAATTAACCATCTAGATTATTCACCAGAATAGGAATTACCATCTAGCACCATCTAGTTATTGCTCACCAGAATAGAATTTACCATCTGTTATTCCCATAATAGGAATTACCATCTAGTTATTCACCAGAATAGGAATTACCATCTAGTTATTCACCTGAATAGGAGGCACTCATAGGGAAATATGCTTCTGTTTGTTAGTGTGTGTGTGAGAGAGTGAGTGAGTGGTGTGTTGGTTGTCTGTTCGTGTGTGTTTGTTGCTTAGTGTGTGTGGTGACGTGTGTGAGTGTGTGTTAGTGTGTGTGAGTGTGTTTGTGTGTGTTAACTGTGGGTCAGATGAAGATACACAGAGGTGATAAGTCACAAGACATCCCTCTCCTCTATTCACCCCCCCCCCCTCTCTTCTCCTCTCCCCTCCCCTCCCCTCCTCTCTTCCTCTCGTCTCTCCACCTCTCCTATTCTCCTCTCCTCTTCCTTCCCCCCTCGCCCCCTCCCCTCCGTCTCCTCTCCTCATCGCCTCTCCTCTCCATCTCCTCATCAAATAATAATAATAATATGCCATTTAGCGACTCTTTTATAATCCAAAGCGACTTGACAGTCTGCGTGCCTACATTTTTTTTTTGTGTATGGGTGGTCCCGGGGATAGAACCCACTACCTACCATGGACGGTACAAGCGCCGTGCTCCTATCCAGCTGAGGGCTACAGAGGACCACTCCTCTCCTACCTCTCCTGTAGTTTCTTCCGGCAGCCGTTCCTCTCTCTTTCCCCTTTCTCTCACCTACCTTAACACCCGACACGCCGCACCCACGACCAATCATTTTTTTACCATAACATGATCACTTAGCTATCCTAGTTAGGCTTTACCGATGGGCTGATTCACAGGTCAGGGATTGCAATTAACACTCACATTCATCTGTATTCTCACCTTTCTTTAATGTACAACACTCACATTCTGTCTGTTCTATGTTCTCTAAATTTAAAACAACACTAATTATTATGTTTCTATTTTCTCATAGATGTAGGCAACACTCCACTCACATTCTAATACTGTTCTATTTCTCTAATGTACAACACTCACTCTATCTCTGTTCTATTTCTCTAATGTAAACAACACTCACTTCATCTGTTCTTTTCCTCTAATGTAGCGCCAAACCCCACCACCCTTATATCTGTTCTATTTCTCTAATGTACCACCCCTCACATTCTATCTGTTCTATTAGTTCTCTAAAATAGTCAACACTCACATTCTATCTGTTCTATTTCTTCTAATGTACACACATGACATTATCTGTTCTATTTTTCTAATGCAACACAACTAGCCACATGTCTAATCATGTTCTATTTCTCATGTAGCAACACTCCATTCTATCTGTTCTATTTCTCTAATGTAACAACACTCACATTATATCTGTTCTATTTCTCGAATGTAACAACACTCACATCTATTTCGCTATGTAGCAACACTCTCACATTCTAATCATCATGTTCTATTTCTCTAATGGTAGTCACCACTCACATTCCTATCTGTTCTATTTCTCTAAATGTTAAAACACTCACATTCTATATCTGTTCTAGTTCTCTGATGTACCAAACACAACACTCACTTCTATCTTTCTATTTCTCTAATGTTAAAACAAACAATTCCCTATCTGTTCTATTTCTCTAATGTAACAACACTAACAAACATTCTATCTGTTCTATTTCTCTAATGTAACAACACATTCTATCTGTTCTATTTCTCTAATGTAACAACACTCACGTTCTATCTGTTCTATTTCTCTAATGTAACAACACTCACATTCTATCTGTTCTATTTCTCTAATGTAACACATTCTATCTGTTCTATTTCTCTATGGTACAACACATTCTATCGTTCGATTTCTCCTAATTACAACACCCTCCCATTCTTCTGTTCCTCTTTCTCTAATGTAACAACACTCACATTCTATCTGTTCTATTTCTCTAATGTAACAACACTCACATTCTATCTGTTCTATTTCTCTAATGTACCAACACTCAACATTCTAATCTGTTCTATTTCTCTAATGTACAACACATCCATTCTATCTGTTCTATTTCTCTAATGTACAACACAACACGCACATTACTAATCGTCTTTATTTCTCTATGTGACAACACATTCTATCTGGTTTCTATTTCTCTAATGTAACAACCTCTCCACTTCTATCTGTTCTATTTTCTCTAATGTAACAACACACCACTCACATTCTATCTCTGTTTCTATTTCTCTATGTAACAACCAATTCTATCTGTTCTATTCTCTAATGTACAAACACTCACGTTCTTTATCGTTCTACTTCTCTAATGTACACCTCACATTCTATCTGTTCTATTTCTCCTAATGTTAACAACACTCCCATTCTATCTGTTCTATTTCTCTATGTAACAACACTCACATTCTATCTTGTCTATTCTCTATGTAAACAACACCCTCACAGTCTATCTGTTCTATTTCTCAAAATAGTAACACCACATGCTATCTGTGTCTATTCTCGAATTAACAACACCACGTTCTAATCTGTTCTATTTCTCTAATGTTAACAACACTCACATCTATCTGTTCTAATTCTCTATGTACAACACTCACATTCTATCTGTTTCTATTTTCTCTAATGTAACAAACTCACATTCTATCTGTTTCTATTCTCTAATGTAACACACAACCCTCACATTCTTCTGTTCTCATTCTCTAATGTAACAACACATTCCTATCTGTTTCTATTTCTCTAATGTACAACACTCAACGTTCTAGCTGTTCTATTTCTCTTGTACAACCACCACATTCTATCTGTTCTATTTCTCTAATGTAACAAACTCACATTCTGCTTTTCTATTGTCTAATGTAACAACACCATTTCTATCTGTTCTATTTCTATTTCTTTCTCCTCATGTACAACACATTCTTCTTTTTATTTCTCTAATTAACAACACTCACGTTCTATCTGTTCTAGCTCCTGAGTGGCGGCAGTGGGCTAAGGCACTGCAATCGCAGGCTAAACTGACTGTTGCACTAAGATCCTGGTTCGAATCCAGGCTCTGGTCGCAGCCGGCCGCGACCAGGAGACTCATGGGCGGCGCACAATTGGCCCAGCGTCGTCCAGGTTAGGGGAGGGAATGGCCGGCAGGGATGTAGCTCAGTTGATAGAGCATGGCGTTTTGCAACGCCAGGGTTGCGGGGTTCGATTCCCACGGGGGGGGCCAGTATAAAAAAAAAAAAAAAAAAGATGTATTCACTAACTGTAAGTCGCTCTGGATAAGAGCGTCTGCTAAATGACTAAAATGTAAATGTAATGTAAATGTTCTATTTCTCTAATGTAACAACACTCACATTCTATCTGTTCTATTTCTCTAATGTAACAACACTCACATTCTATCTGAGCGCGCACACACACTTCATTCTGGACATGTCATTCCCTCACTGCTGTCCTGCGGGGTAATATGTAAATTATGTGGGGGAGAGGGCCGTGGTGATTGGCTGAGAGGGCTCTAGGGGGTGTGGTATTTATAGAATGATGAAACAAGATACTCTGGCCCAGGAGTCATGCACACACACACACAAACACACGCACAGTTCACCAACACATCACACACACACCACACACACACACAACACACACACAGGCATATTACACAGACCCCTGCTACAGTAATAGTAGTTGTCTTTGGTCCTGACAGGCCTGCTACACTGGACATGTATTTTGTTGAGTGCGATACGCTCCTCTTCATTTCTAGGAAACCTGGTCTACACTCTGAATCTACCCTCCTCTTCATTTCTAGGAAACCTGGTCTACACTCTGATTCTACCCTCCTCTTCATTTCTAGGAAACCTGGTCTACACTCTGAATCTACCCTCCTCTTCATTTCTAGAAAACCTGGTCTACACTATGACTTCTAACCCTCCCCTCTTCATTTCTAGGAAACCTGGTCTACACTCTGATTCTACCCTCCTCTTCATTTATAGAGAACCTGGGTGAGAGATACCAACCAACTGTACTGTCCTCTGAGATACCAACCAACTGTACTGTCCTCTGAGATACCAACCAACTGTACTGTCCTCTGAGATACCAACCAACTACACTGTCCTGTCGTCATGGGGAGAGAAGAGCGGGCGATCGAGACACAGAGACATTGTACTGCTGGGCTGGAACAAAAGCCTGCATACTTCTAATTCTCCAGGACCAGGGTTGGAGGCCACAGACCTGGTGAACTATGAACATGGAAATATAAATACTTAGTAAAAAGAAACTAACTCGTTGACAAAGTGGGTTCCAATCCTCAAAAGTAGTGTACTACATAGGGACTTGCCATTTGGGACACAGAGCCCGTTGTGGTTCCATACTCACAGTATCCACATCTAGTCCCGCCCTCAAACACAAAGCCATTGGGCACGTCGCCATAGCGACGCAGGTCTGACAGCTTCCACTGGCCAATCACGGCCGGGGGGAGGTCCCTAGTGAGGACCAATAGGTTGTTGCACAGGTGCAGGGAGGCGGGACCACTCTCTAGCTTAGTTCCTGGCTGAACGCCTACACTGAACCTGTGGACTGGTTGAGAGAGAGAGGGAGGGAAGGAGGAAGAGAGGGAGGGAGGGAAGGAGGGAGGGAGAGAGGGAGAGAGATTGACCAATCACCTACAGAGAGATTAACTTGGAGAAGAGTCCCCTAAGTAAGCTGGTCCTGGGGCTCTGTTCACAAACACAAACAGACCCCACAGAGCCCCTGGACAGCAACACAATTAGACCCAACCAAATCATGAGAAAACAAAAAGAGAATTACTTGACACATTGGAAAGAACAAACAAAAAAACAGAGCAAACTAGAATGCTATTTGGCCCTAAACAGAGAGTAACCAGTGGCAGAATACCTGACCACTGACTGACCCAAACTTAAGGAAAGCTTTGACTATGTACAGACTCAGTGAGCATAGCCTTGCTATTGAGAAAGGCCGCCGTAGGCAGACCTGGCTCTCGAGAAGACAGGCTATGTGCACACTGCCCACAAAATGAGGTGGAAACTGAGCTGCACTTCCTAACCTCCTGCCAAATGTATGACCATATTAGAGACATATTTCCCTCAGATTACAGCGATCCACAAAGAATTCGAAAACAAACCCAATTTTGATAAACTCCCTTATCTAACTGGGGGGGGAGGGAACGAACGGAAAGAGAGGAGAGAGAGCGGTAGCGATGGGAGAGACGGAGGGGGGAGAGATGGAGAGATGGAAAGATGGAGAGGAGAGAGGGAGAGGACTGATGAATGATCAGTCAAACTTAGCTAAAGGCAAAGAGAGCCGCTGTAACACACCATGAGTTCTGTATCAATCAGAGACATAATGAAGAGGAACACACACACACACACACACACACACACACACACACACACACACACACACACACAGAGAGAGCTGACACGGAGCATAAGTCTAGTACATAAACATCCATCTAACACACACAGAGAGCTGGCTGATTGATGCCAGTATTAATGATGATTAAACACTCTGTTGTGCTCCGCTGGCTGTGATCTGTCACCAATGGGGCTCCGTCCCAAATGGTACCCCTATTCCCCATGTAGTGCACTACCTGATCAAAAGTTGTCCACTATGTAGGGAATTTGGGACGCAACCTGGGTGTCTGTTGATGACTCTTTTATAAAGATCCCCCAAAACCACACACACCATTACAGCAGGTGTCATCTGAGCAGAAAAAAAGCAAGATCTTTCACTCATGCCCCAAACACTGAACGGGCACAGGGGAAGAAACAGGTCGTAGAAGACATCTGACTGACTGACTGGCTAGCTGGCTGGCAGAGAGAGAGAGAAGAAAAAGGAAAAAGAGAAGAGAGAAGAGAAGAGAGAAGAGAGAGAGATAGAGAAGGGAGAGAATAGAGAAGACAGAGAGACATCCAAAACGAGTTTCCGAAAGAAGAGAGTCTCCCCTCTTGGCCTTCTCTAACTAATCTCTCTCCCCTTCTTCTCTCTTTCTTTCCCCCCTCTACCCCCTTTTCTTGGTCTTCCCGCCTATCTCTCCCCTCTCCTTCTCTATTATCAGGGAAATACAGTATAATAACTTTTGGGGTACCTCTTTCCCCTTCCCCTCCCTCTTCCTCCCTTCCTCTTTTCCCTCCCCCTTCCAATCATCTCTCTCTCTTTCTTAACCATGATTGCTTTCCCCCCCCCCTATTCTAAACCATCCAAATTTAAAATTATTTAATATATATACAATCCCATACCTACCCTTTTTTCTTTCTTCTTCTTCTCTTTTCTCTTGGCTCTTTCTAACCTATTTTCCTACTGAACAACCTGACTGAACTCCAAACAGAGAGAAATGCTAAACATGTTTGCTACCGCTAACGCTATCCAACACTCCAACTCTTCCAAGTCAAGGTAAGCTTTTGGTTTTTTCAAATGTATTGTTTTATTAATTTGTCTCTCGACCTGTGTGCACCTAGGTTATAAACTTTCATTTGTAAGCTAGGTTGTAGCAACCTCATGATGGGTTTAGGGAACATTAGAGTATCATGTAGTAGCCTAAACCTATCGCTGTTACATTGAACTGGGTGAATGGGAATATGAATGACAGTCATCCATTATGCTGTAATAGAAATAAGGCCATGCTCATTACCAAAAAAAAGGTGTCCTCCCTAATGTTGACCGGCACCAACCGCAACCGCAACCGGTCTAGACTGAGATGTACTTATTACCCCAACTTCTACTCAAACTCTGAAAGGGCCAAAACGCACGCACGCACGCACGCACGCACACACACACACACACACACACACACACACCCTACTGCCCCCCCCCCTCCCTCCACCCTACCTTCTCCCAGGCTGTATCTCAGCCTAGCGTCCCATGCCCCCCCCCCACCCTACCTTCTCCCAGGCTGTATCTCAGCCTAGCGTCCCATGCCGTCAGCCCCTCTCTGCTGTCGAAGCCCAGTCCCACTGTGTGTCCCAGGCAGAGGATGGTGAGGGTGAAGGCCACCCCGTCGTACCCTAACCCCGGCTCCACTCCACAGATCCCCTCCAAGGTCATCCGCAGCCGCTCACGACGACCCCTGACCTTATCGGACTTATCCCGGTAGACAAGGAGAGAGAGGCAGTCTGGGTAGAGAGGGAGATGAGGGGAGGGGAGGAGAGGAGTGACGGTGAAATCATTTTTGACCTGGAGCGCGCAAAGGTATAACCCCTTTCAGAGATAGGTGGGAGGGGCTGATGGTAGCTGAAGGATGGGACTAAAAACAAACAAAAGATAACTCATGTAAAATATACTGTGTCTGTTAAATGTATATAGTATGTATAAGCTGGAAGTAGAAGCCTAAGTGTTGTTGTTCATTTGTTTACTCTAATTAGGGGAGGGGTGGTGGGGTTAGGGGAAAATAATAAAGAAGGAAAATATGTGACCGACCGGCTCAAATCGGTCTTATGTAGCAACATTTGAAATTGTGTTTTTTTTTTTACATTGGATAGACTCAGAGCTAGAACATGGTATATCATACACTACAGTTGAGGAACAATGGGAAAGTCATTTTGCTTTGAAAGTTGATCAACTTGTAACCTCACTTTTGAGAAAATGGCCTTTGAATGTTTTGGTACACCTGCTGGAGAGCTCTTCTTTGTCTACACCCATTCAGCATCGTTCACACCCTCTTAAGCGTTAGCTCCACCCATCTCTTTAAGGGTTGATCTGAGCGTTCTGTCCTAACAACAGCAGTCAAGCACCCAAGCTAACTGGCTAACTGGCTAACTGGCTAACGTTGGCTAACTGGCTAACGTTGGCTAACTGGCTAACTGGCTAACGTTGGCTAACTGGCTAACTGGCTAACGTTGGCTAACTGGCTAACTGGCTAACGTTGGCTAACTGGCTAACTGGCTAACGTTGGCTAACTGGCTAACTGGCTAACGTTGGCTAACTGGCTAACTGGCTAACGTTGGCTAACTGGCTAACTGGCTAACGTTGGCTAACTGGCTAACTGGCTAACGTTGGCTAGCTTGCTAGCTACTTCCAGACACAAATGAGAGAACAGGTCACTCTGACCATTTTAGTCACCCTAGCAGAGCTGGTTAGGCTGTTTTTATATTATCCAGAGGGTTGGTGACGGCAACTGTGCTGCTGGCAACAATTTACGCTTTATATTTAATAAAATATATATCTTTAACAAATATATTTACAACAACAATATATGGGGGATTGGAAATGACATTGATAGAAGCCACAATCTATCTGCAATATTAAAGCTGATCTACCCCCTAAAAAAATTATTTAAAAAGAACCCCTTCTAATATGGAATTCTATGGACAGAACTCTATAGAACTTGATTTGCGCATGATTGGCCAACATACTGATGTGATTGACGTGCAGGCTGAACAATCAGGGGTGTGCTGTGGTTGGCTTATGATTTTTGAAGCGGTATCAATGACTTATTCATATTTTTAAACATACTATAGACTCCATAGCTTTTAATGTATATATTTTAATGTATAGCTTTGTGGGTTCTTTATTGGCAACTTTGCAATTGGAACAGATTGTAAATAACATGTTCCTGATAATACAGCCTAAGTCTAACATCCTAATGTAAATCATATATATAGGCCTCTTGTGTGTATCTGTCAACAAAGTGGTTGCTATAGAGATGAGTCTGTACATTGTCAGCCAACAAAGTGGTTGCTATAGAGATGAGTCTGTACATTGTCAGTCAACAAAGTGGTTGCTATAGAGATGAGTCTGTACATTGTCAGTCAACAAAGTGGTTGCTGTAGAGATGAGTCTGTAAATTGTCAGTCAACAAAGTGGTTGCTATAGAGATGAGTCTGTACATTGTCAGTCAACAAAGTGGTTGCTATAGAGATGAGTCTGTACATTGTCAGTCAACAAAGTGGTTGCTGTAGAGATGAGTCTGTAAATTGTCAGTCAACAAAGTGGTTGCTATAGAGATGAGTCTGTACATTGTCAGTCAACAAAGTGGTTGCTGTAGAGATGAGTCTGTAAATTGTCAGTCAACAAAGTGGTTGCTATAGAGATGAGTCTGTACATTGTCAGTCAACAAAGTGGTTGCTATAGAGATGAGTCTGTACATTGTCAGTCAACAAAGTGGTTGCTATAGAGATGAGTCTGTACATTGTCAGTCAACAAAGTGGTTGCTATAGAGATGAGTCTGTACATTGTCAGTCAACAAAGTGGTTGCTATAGAGATGAGTCTGTACATTGTCAGTCAACAAAGTGGTTGTTATAGAGATGAGTCTGTACATTGTCAGTCAACAAAGTGGTTGCTATAGAGATGAGTCTGTACAATGTTCCAATGTGTTACAGCAGCAGCCGGTGAGTTAACTCACTGAGTACGTCCCCAAATGGCACACTGTTCCCTACATAGTGCACACTACTTTTACTATATAGGGAATAGGGTGCGAGTTGGGACACACACACACTGTAATACAGTTAATACAGACTTCCAGCTGTCATAACAACGCTAACACAGCTGATTGATCCTGGACCAGCTGCAGAATAACATTATTAACATGGATACCAACAGGCTCAGAGACAGTTTCTATCTACAGGCCATCAGACTGTATTGGAGCATGAGGTCTGATACCAACAGGCTCAGAGACAGTTTCTATCTACAAGCCATCAGACTGCTGAACACTTGAACTGGACTGACCACCTGCTGATTCTCCGCACCTTAACACACATCACAACTGCTGCTACCAGACTATTATTATCCTGCTCAGTGTATACACATATACATACACTGCCCCCCATCCTTCCTTCCCGAATACACATGGAAATATTGGACTATAGATTGTGCCTTCCTGTATTATACTTACAGTGCATCTGGAAAGTATTCAGACCCCTTGACGTTTTCCACATTTTGTTACGTTACAGCCTTATTCTAAAATGGATTAAATTGTTTTTTTTCCCCCTCATCAATCTACACACAATACCCCATAATGACAAAGCATTAAAAAATAAAAAAACAGAAATATTACATTTACATAAGTATTCAGAACCTTTACTCAGTACTTTGTTGAAGCACCTTTGGCAGCGATTACAGCCCCGAGACTTCTTGGGCATGATGCTACAAGCTTGGCACACCTGTATTTGGGGAGTTTCTCCCATTCTTCTCTGCAGATCCTCTCAAGCTCTGTCAGGTTGCGTTGCTGCACAGCTATTTTCAGGTCTCTCCAGAGATGTTCGACTTGGGTTCAAGTCCGGGCTCTGGCTGGGCCACTCAAGGACATTCAGAGACTTGTCCCGAAGCCACTCCTGTGTTGACTTGGCTGTGTGCTTAGGGTCATTGTCCTGTTGGAAGGTGAACCTTCGCCCCAGTCTGAGGTCCTGAGCGCTCTGGAGCAGGTTTTCATCAGGGATCTCTCTGTACTTTGCTCCGTTCATCTTTCCCTTGATCCTGACTAGTCTCCCAGTCCCTGCCCCTTAAAAACATCCCCACAGCATGATGCTGCCACCACCATGCTTCACCGTAGGGATGGTGCCAGGTTTCCTCCAGACGTGACGCTTGGCATTCAGGTCAAAGAGTTCAATCTTGGTTTCATCAGACCAGAGAATCTTGTTTCTCATGGTCTGAGAGTCCTTTAGGTGCCTTTTGGCAAACTCCAAGCGGGCTGTCATGTACCTTTTACAGAGGAGTGGCTTCCGTCTGGCCACTCTACCATAAAGGCCTGATTGGTGGAGTGCTGCAGAGATGGTTGTCCTTCTGGAAGGTTCTCCCATCTCCACAGAGGAACTCCGGAGCTCTGTCAGAGTGACCATCGGGTTCTTGGTCACCTCCCTGACCAAGGTCCGTCTCCCCCAATTGCTCAAATGGCCGGGTGGCCAGCTCTAGGAAGAGTCTTGGTGGTTCCAAACTTCTTCCATTCAAGAATGATGGAGGCACCCTCCCACAGATCTGTGCCTCGACACAATCCTGTCTCGGAGCTCTACAGACAATTCCTCATGGGTTGGTTTTTGCTCTGACATGCACTGTCAACTGTGGGACCTTTATATAGACAGGTGTGTGCCTTTCCAAATCAAATCAGTTGAATTGACCACAGGTGGACTCCAATCAAGTTGTAGAAACATCTCAAGGATGATCAATGGAAACAGGATGCACCTGAGCTCAATTTCGAGTCTCATAGTAAAAGGTTCTGAATACTTATGTAAATAAGCTATTTCAGTTTTTATTTTATTTTATACATTTGCAAACCTGTTTTCACTTTGTCATTATGGGGTATTGTGTGTAGATTAATCCATTTTTTAGAATAAGGCTGTAACGTAACAACATGTGGAAAAAGGTGAAGGGGTCTGAATACTTTCAGAATGCGCTGTATGCTAAAATGTCTATTCTATTCTACTGAGCCATTTACTTTCTGTTCCTATTCTTGTATTTTATTATTTCTTATTGTTGTTGCATTGTTGAGAAGGAACCTGCAACGAAGAGTTTCGTTGGATGATGTAGCCTACACTATGCGTATCCCGTACATAGGACGAATACAACTTGAAACACACACACAGACACCAGTGAAAGCAATTAGTCAGAATGATATGGTATACTTCTTATGTAAGCCTTTGGCTTTAAATACGTAGCATAGGTAGCAAAACTATCCTGACTTGGTTGCTTGTACACAAATAAGTCCTGTAAATAGCCTAAGCATTGAAACAAATGCAAAAAAAAATTATTGTGATAAAGGCAATAGGTCTAATCAAACATAAGGGTATAACTTGTTAAGTGTTACGCGATCCCCACCACACGTGTAACCGTGGTTATGTGATATTTACACTATGCGCTCCGGTTGGCGTGTCGCCAAACGTCACATTAACAAGTCGCGCTTACTTTAATTCCTGAAAATCTCATTGGTGAAAGATTACAGTAAAACATTTAAAAGACTGCTGCATTATTTCAACCGTTGAAAAACAAGATTTAATTTACAACGTTGGAGACGTTTTACATTTAGTAGTAGTTGGTTGGTTCGTAGCCTACCTGCGACTGGGGACGGCTTCCGCAACGCGACCCAACGACTCTTCCACTGCAAAGAAGTTTAAGCAAATACATCAAACAGTCAAATCCACACGTTATTGTATTAACGTTTAACTTCCGGAAACGTTTTTGAAGTTGTGATATAAATGTGATAAGAACCTTTTTCCCATCTCTGAATTTAACTTGTCCCTCTACTACAACTGTATCCGTCATCTTCTGACATTGCTCAGAACAGCTGCGTGTGTGTGTGCCCGCTGCCCCGTCCAATTCCTGACAGTTGGGGTCACTTTCAAAATAACTTTTTAGCCGCCCACCCCCCCACCCGCGGCCCTCACACACACCACTCTATCCCCCGGAAAACACGCCACTCAGGCGGGGAAAGGGGCCAGCCACCCACCGAGGGGCCAGCCAATAGTTGGCGCAGTTGTTAGTCAGTGTCAGGGGTGATTGTTTACAATGTCACCAATGAAATGAAAGTGACATAGCAACCATAGCTTTCACTTCGCTCATAGGGTTGCAATGCTTTTCTAGATTTTATCCAGGGGTGGACTGGGACCAGAAGTCGGCCTTGACATTTCTAACACACCGGCCCATTTATTCCCTTGAGGCCCCCCATTTTTTTTGCCAAATAATTTTAATTTTGTGCAACAACTGTGCTACATATAGACCAGCCCGTCTGGTATTTGCCAGAAATGCCAGATGGCCAAGACCAGCCCGTCTGGCATTTGCCAGAAATGCCAGATGACCAGTCCACCCCTGCCTTAGACCATAGAGATATGAGATAGATGCCTGTTCTACTCATTCTATTTCTACAGCTAGACAGGGATATAGAATGATATAGCCTATTGTCTTTTGTCAATAGCGCCTTCTTAATCTTCCCACTGGGCAAAAACTGGTTGAATCAACGTTGTTTCAACATAATTTCAACCCAAAAAAATCAATGTGAAGATGTGGAAAACTGATTGGATTTAGAAAAAATCATCAATATAAGGGAATTTCATCTTTTTTTCCACCAAACTTTTAACTTAAACTTACATGGTGACATTTTTTTGTTGAATTCACGTTAGTTGACATTTACATTTACATAATTTAGCAGACGCCCTTATCCAGAGCGACTTACAAATTGGTGCATTCACCTTATAGCCAGTGGGATAACCACTTTACAATATTTTTTTTTTTTTTTGGGGGGGGGGTTCAAGTGTCTCTGGAAGGTGGTGAGTGACTCCGCTGTCCTGGCCTCGTGGGGGAGCTTGTTCCACCATTGGGGTGCCAGAGCAGCGAACAGTTTTGACTGGGCTGAGCGGGAACTGTGCTTCCGCAGAGGTAGGGGGGCCAGCAGGCCAGAGGTGGATGAACGCAATGCCCTCGTTTGGGTGTAGGGACTGATCAGAGCCCGAAGGTACAGAGGTGCCGTTCCCCTCACAGCTCCGTAGGCAAGCACCATGGTCTTGTAGCAGATGCGAGCTTCAACTCAACCAAATGTAAATCCAAACAAAGCAACAGTAGCACGTCTTCCCCCAGGATAATGCAGCTCAAACAGAACAGGAGCTGTGCTTGTTCAAAGTTTGGAATTTCAGTTGATTACTATAGCGCCCCCCTGTGGTCAATCAGTGTAATTGCGTAATGACCAGATCTATGGCTAGACGCATCATTCACCCAGGTTTTGTCTAAATCAGCCCAGTGGTGTCTGAGATATTGTGTGTTTCTAGCATACGTGCTAACGTACGAACGGACGGAGACAGATCCATAGTCCCCCTCTGAATTTCATTGTGGGGGGAAAACTAGACTTTGAACTGGCGTCTGTGCCAGTGGGTTATTCTTTATGAATTCTGAGATGTATTCAGTGGTTATGTCTAACAAGAAGAACATGTCACACTACAGACCTCTGTTGAGGTTTATGCTATTATAAATGGGGATCCTGTAAACTACAAAATACCAAAAACACAGTGAAATAAAGAAACTATTGTGATTTTATTCATATCAATAATATCAGGTTTACCTCCAATAAACAGAAAACTGAACACTAAACAGTGATATTAATAAAGTGTGTGTGTGTGAGTAAATGACTGAACGGAAGTAACATTGATATTTCAGTCAGAAGTCTTCTCTGAGTGTAACTAAGACCATCAATGTGGTTGTGCTGGTTGAGGATCTCTGATTGGTCCAGAGATCATATGAGGGTACGATTCCAAACAACCATTCATATACATGGTTTCCAGGGCCTTCAGAAAGGACTCACACCCCTTGACTTTTTCCACATTTTGTTGTGTTACAGCCTGAATTTAAAATGGATTAAATTGAGTTTTTTTTTTGTCACTGGCCTACACACAATACCCCATAATGTCAAGGTCGAATGACGTTTTTCCAAATACATTTGACTAATTAATAAAAAAAATGAAAAAGCTGTATTCAACCCCTTTGTTATCTCAGCCTAAATAAGTTCAGGAGTAAAAATGTGCTTAACAAGTCACTCAGGAATTTCACCATGAGGCCAATGGTAACTTTAAAACAATTACAGAGTTTAATGGATGTGATAGGGAGAACTGAGGATGGATCAACAACATTGTAGTTACTCCACAATACTAACCTAATTGACAGAGTGAAAAGAAGGAAGCATGTACAGAATTTATTTTATTCCAAAACATTCATCCTGTTTACAATAAGACACTAAAGTAAAATATTTGGCAAAGAAATTATCTTTATGTCCTGAATACAAAGAGTTATGTTTGGGGCAAATCCAACACAACACATCACTGAGTAACTGCCTCATTATTTTTAAGCATGGTGG